CTCTCAGAACTCGGAGTTACGATCCTGCCTGGCAGTGAAGAGCCCTTTGATAATGATTATAAATGAAAACAAGGCGTCAGTATTCCCTTTTGTGGATGACTGGAGATGGGGACGGGATTTGATGCCATTTCTTAACATGATGAACTGGGATCTGGATGTGCCCCAGTCCTGCCAATTGCCTGCCTCCCGAGGGGCAGCTGCTGGGCTAGAAACACAAGGACCAGCAGAGGAAGGGACCCCGCTCCACCTGAAGCCTCTGCCAACACGTGGCCACCCAGGGAGAGAGGGAGGGTGTGCCAGCCTGTGTCGGGGCTGGACCACTCTCCACCCCGTGGCTTCTGAGCCAGGAGGAGAGAAGAGGTTGGCAGTGTGTCCCAGGGGCAGAGTCTGCCCAGGCCTTTGCAGCCCAAGAGAGCAGGAAGCAGCAAGAACAAGAAAAACGGAGACCCAAGCTGGACGCCGCCACTTGGCCTGGCCAGAGCCAACCTGTCTGCAGCTCTTTGCTGGAAAGGGGCTGGCGGAGGTGGGCTGGCGGGGTAGGGTAAGTGGCAAGGGAAGGGCTGGCCTCAGCGTGAGCTCCCCCAGCACCTGCCACCTGGGCTGCTCTGGAGTGAGGAGTGAGGGCTCCTCACAGCAGTGAGGAGTACAGCTCCTCCACACCCAGAGGAGGGCAAGTCCTGAAGTCCCAAGTTTGAAAGCCATGGGCCAGGAGCTGAGGGGAGCAGCAGTGATAAAGTCCATATACCTTCATGGGACAGGTGACATTTCAGCAAAGCCTGAAAGACAGCCCGAGACTGGGATGCAGTGGGGCAGGGGAGACCTGTCCTGAGCAGGAGCCTGTAGGTGGGAAACTTGGGGCAAGTCTGAGGGGGCAGGGCCATCCTGTGGCTGGAGCCACACATCTCTTAAGGGGGGGTTCCTCATGGCAACAGGCAGCCAGCAAAGGCATCAGGCAGGGGTGGGTCCTAATTTACCAAGATAGATGGTGAGGGGTGGGAATAGCAGGGGTCCAGGTGGGTGGCAGGGTGATACCCAAAGGCTGTTGAGGTAGCACAGGTGGAAAGTGACAAGGCTGAGGGTGACAAAGTGTCTTAGTCCATTTGGGCTGCTAAAGCAAAGTTACCACAGGCTGGGTGGCTTAAACATTTATTTCTGACAGTTCTGGAGGCGAGGAAGTCCAAGATCAAGGCTCTGGCAGTTTCCGCATCTGGTGAAAACCCTCCTCCTGGTTCACAGCTGGGGTCTTTTCCCTGAGTCCTCGCATGATGGGAAGGGTGAGGCATCTCTCTAGAGGTTCCTTTTATAAGGACACTAATATCCTTCATGGGGGCTCCACTCTCAAGACCGAATCTCATCCCACAGTCCCCACCTCCTAATACGACTCGACTGGGGATTAGACGTCAACATGTGAATTTGGGTGGTGGGGAGGCAGACACAAACACTCAGTCTACAGCAGAGGGTGACAGAGTTAAGCTGTCAAAGTGGGAAATTGCTGTTCCAAGGGGAACCTGATCACTTTGGGAACATCTCCTGGTTCTGTGATCCTCAGCACTATTGTGAAGGACTCTGCCCATCGTTCTTCCGGAAGGAGCCCTTCCTTGCTCCAGCTCCTCCCTCAGATGCCCCAGCCTTCCCAGATCCTGAGTCTACACCTGCCCACCAGCGCAGGGCAGGCTGGGAGAGAGTGGTTGTGCTGGGTCCGGGGATGGGGCAGACAGGGGACTGCCAGAGAGCAGAGCATAGAAGCAGACGGCTCCCTGCCAGGCTGGGTGCAGACAGAAATGACAACAGTATCCACAAAACAGTGGCAGAGGGGCAGGTCCAGGCAGAAAGGGACCTGCAGAGGTGGGGTCTAGACTGCAGACAGATGGGGCAACACCGGGGTGTGACAGAGACTCTCTCCTCCACCAAACTTTTATTCTGAGCCTCATGTCACGTAGTCCTCCACTTTTGGACTTCCATGTCTGTCTATGCATTACCCAGTTTTAGCAAAAATCCTGTCAAGTCAGTTTAGCCAGAATCCCCAGCTTTAATATCTGATCACCCTCCATATCTGATCAAAGTCTTACCCTCACCAATCCCTGGGTGATTTCTGAGCACCCTGGCCTGCCTTCAGAAAGAATCCTGTCAGGTCTGCTTAACCAGAATCCCCCTCCCTGATGTTTCTTTCCTCTTAGTAATTTTCCATCCACAGGCTTCCTCCTCCCTGTTCCTTGGCTGTAAATCTCCACTTGTCCTTGCTATGTTCAGAACTGAGTCCACTTCTGTTCTGAAGTCTCTTTTCTCCTATTGCATTGGGTCTTAAATAAACTTTATGTTTACCTCTTTGACCACTGTCCAGTCCTGGTTCATTTTAACAGTGACACTACTGCCCTCTCTCGTGGGGGCTCGGTGGGGACATTGGTCTGCACCCCTCTGTGCCAGGCTCTTTGCCAGGCCATGGCATGAGAACCCAGGAGGAGCCCAGGAGAGCTTCCAGCAGGAGGTGGAAGCTAGGCAAGTCCTAAGAGCCTAGTGAAAGTGCTCTCTGCCCGGCTCGGGGCAGGGGCCAGTCCCTGAAGACAGCACATGCCTGCAGTTGGGTCTGTGCAGAAGTGGGGCCAGCCCAAAACCCATAGGCTCCAACACAGACACCCCAGATCTCACAAATTCCAAATGTACCCAGATGCCTCCTGGCTCCCACAAGCCTGTGTCCCTGCTGGTGAGACACAGGAAGGCTGAGCAAGAGGATGAACTTCATGACAATCACTGGGTGGGCTGTCAGCCTCCTCAGCACCAGCACCCCCAGTGGGGGGCACAGCAGAAACTAGGCAGGTGACACCTGACCCCTGCTGTGAACTCTGTTTCATGGATACATTTTTATTTGCATTCGCCAAACTGTTTATAGATACACACTGCCGGGTGTTCACTGACCATGAGTGTCACACCCTGAGGATGTTCTCACTGTTGCCATGGTGAGAAGGTCTGGAGTGGGAAGCCTCTCCTAGCCCTTCCGCACCCCACTCCCACCCCACACCCCCTGCCTTCAGGCCCTGGGGTTTTGTCATTACAAGCCAGGTCTCCTCCGGGGTCTCAGATTCACTGCCTCCCCTCTCTTCAGCCCTGTCTCTCTTTGATTTCCCTTCTAGGACTTGCAGCCAGAGGAGGAGGGTATGTGTCTCCCCAACCTGGGATGTCTCCACTCCTAACACAGGAATCCAAGTCCAGGACTCATTGGCCTGGGGAGCTGTGAATGGGGGATGAGCTGTTCGACCACATAGACAGGGCTCACGGTGCAGGGAAGCTGGGGTGGGGGCAGTGGACAGAGACTCTGGCTGAGGTAGGTGGATGGGCAGCCCAGCTGCTGGACGGGGCCACCCCATATTCCCCACCAAGGATCTGCCCATGGCATTTATTCCAGACAAAATTGCAGGGGTGAGAGATGGCTCAGGGGAGGTGGCTCTCGTCCCTCAATGGAGTGGAGGAGGGCACCTATTCCTGTCCCTGCTGCCCAAACTACTAATGGGGGTCGGGGTGGGGGTTGACAACGACTGGAAACTGGGCTGGTTTGTGGTTAGGTGGCAAGGGCAAGGGTGGGGGAGGTCAAGAGAGAGGATGGCTCCCCCAGGAGCAGAGACTGGCTCTTGGGGCCTTCCAGGGTCCATGCCTGGCTGGCTTCAGGACTCAGAAGTCATCTCAGGGACGGCGGGCAGGGAGGGCAGGCCTAGGCAGTATAAGCTGCTATTGCAATGGAGAAGTCAGGTACGGGTGGGAGCGATGCCTAGAAATTCTGGGAAGTCAGAGCCATAGACAGGAGGAATTTGGGAGTCTGGGGCGATGGAGATTAAGTCTAGGGGCTGGATGGGGTCCCCTAGGGTAAGGATGTGGGCAGGGAAGCAGACTCATACAGACCCTGGAACCCACCCACATATAGCCATGGAGCAGAGGAGAATCGGCACAGAAGTGGAAAAGGAATGTCCCCTGAGATTGTTCATGGCTGGGCTTCCTGGTCGAGTCTCAACCCCACAGTCACCTTCATGGGTGCTGCTGAAAACCCGTGCGTTTTGGGTCAAGGTGCCCCTTTGGGAGAGAAGATGGGCAGAGGACACCTGTGCAAACTCCCCACACTGCAGGAAGAGGCTCTGTAAGTGGAGACCCAGTGGTCTCTGCAGGTGGCCATCTGAAGGAGGTGGATACACTGTGGGACTTCTATGAATTTCCTAGCTAATCAGCACACAGCTTCTCCCAGCGATGAATGGAAAAACCTCCTTCTGAAGATGACTGCTTAGGTGTGAGACATATATAACTGTACATGTACATTGTTGTTGGGAGATTATATTGTTATATTATTGAGAATGAAAGTCAGACATGTGTTCTCTGGCTGCATTTCCTGGATTAACCACTGGCTTCTAGGAGACCTCAGACAGGTGCCAAGGTGGGTGGGTATGCAAAGCCTGTCGGTAGGGGAAGGGTGGTCCAGTTCCTTGCTTCTAAGGCAACCAGAAAAATGTTCCAGAGAAATGATGCCCCAAGAAAGCCACAAACACAAAGACAGAACAATGTATTTCCTTGTTTTTCTTTATTTTTCATTTTTTGTTTCTCACTTACCAACACATTTGTAAAATGTAGCAGGCTGTGTTAGTAAAGGAGAAGAGGGGGCGGGGAAGCAGGATCTGAGGAGCCACAGGTGGGGAGTCAGGAGCAGGAAGCCCTGCCCAGCGTCCCGCCTTCCAGCAAGGCATTAGCCACTGCTGCTGCTCTTACAGACCCCCAGATGTTTACAAAATTGTCATAAAGAGCATTTCTGTTGCCTCCGATCCTTGTGCCTTACATTCTCCCTGACGCCCTGAGATGAGGCAGGGTCTGCTCAGGCCAGCCCTCGGCAGAGCCTGGTCGGAGAGAAGCCTGCCCCTGTGTCTCAGGCCCCCACCCCAGAGCCTCAGTCCCAGGGCAAGCATCTGAGAAAGGAGGCCAGGGTGAGGCTACCCAGGAGCTCTTTGGAGGGGAGGAGGGACCACCCCTTAGGACCTTGGACAGCACTCCCGAATGCCCTCTGCTTCAGCCACAGGCTTCTGCTCAGGACAGTAGGGAGCAGCTGTGGCCATAGGAACATGGCAGCAAAGAGACCTAGAGCTGGCCTCCTGGGCTTGCCTGGGTGGTCCTGGAGGGAAGGGCTCCCCTTCGCCCAGAGTGGACTTCCTGGCATTTGCACATTGACCCAGCGGACACTCTGACCCTGTGTTTATGAACACAAACATTTTAATCAGGATTACATCCACCCTGATGAGCTTTCTTTCGAGAATATTTTCAAGGCAAATGCCGTGGAGGACAATTTCATGCCTTGATCAGTTTTCTATATAGTGCAGATATTTCCTTTTTTCCCCCTTGAAATAATTTTCACCAGGACCAGATCCTTTTCTTGTGCGCTTTACCACGTATATTGGATCCCCTGGTTAGTGTTCGATCCATGTCGAATGTCGCCAACTGCCTCGTCTTGCCATTGGCAGTTTTCTCCTGTGGCTCTCAGTTCCCCGGGGAGAAACTGTGGCCGGTTTCTCACCAATCGGTACCGCGTGACAGACTTGAACCGTGTGCTATTTGTACTGATGTGCAATACCTGTGCTGTTTTAGTCTCATCGACTTTTCTCCGGTGGAGTGTTTCTGAGGGTGAATCCGTCCTGCCCCTCGGCGGATCCCGGACGACGGAGGCCTTTCCCGGTGATATTCCAGGATGTCCCGAGACCCCGGAATGGGGTCAAGACGTCCTAGCGGGCGCGGTGCTTCTCGGGTGGCGGGGAAGCGGCGCCCCCTGCCGACCTGGGCCCCTCC